GACTATCATGTTTAAATTTAGCCCGTACAAGCAGATCGTCAGCGGAACGAATAGCATTGTGTTTGGCCAACAGCCTTAACTAACTGTACCTTGCATATGCTAAGTTATGTGAACGTCACGTTGAGAACTCGGACCAACACTCTGACTGTTTCATAGCGTTATTGTTTAAAAAACACACGCTTATGATATAGTGGAGCTCACCTATCAAAATGAACAATTTTACTGTTTGGGGAAGTTAGCTAATTTAGAACGAAAGGTTAATTATACTTCTTTGATATAATTTCTCTTTGTTTCAACCATTTGTGTATTTTCGATTTTGTTTATATCTCGAATATATTCTCGTAATTTCGATTATTTGTTCGTTGTTGCAAGTTTCTATTAAAATCTCGAAAATTCGATTATTTTCTCGTGATTTCAAGCTTTTGAAATTTACTTGTGACAACGAAAACAATAACTGAAATTACGTGAAAAGCTAGAACATTTTGGAATAAATTTGAACTTACGAAATAGGTTTTATCATCCAAAATTGTGTTACACTGGAGACATTGCTTGTGTGTGATCAAACGATATATCCTAGGAGATATCGTTTTGACGGTAAAACGTGTACAGTGCCGTGACATCATCAATTACATGACTCACAATGCTATGAAGTCATAAACGTGATGACGTCACAATACTATTACATCGCTGCACTGCAAGTCTAATGGTAGTACCGTGTTCAGAGATGTACGTTTTTCATCGGAAACTAATGAAGAGTGATTTTTTATGTTAAATAGAATTTCACCCTTGTGTCTACTGATAAGAATTAATATCGACACTCGTTGATAAAAGTTAAAATATGTAATGTTATCAAATCATGTTGATATAGCTGATATCAAAAGACACTCGGGCGAATTTCTCTATATTTCCATTTACAAGCACGGATCTGCTTAGTATCGTGGAGCATACTGCAACTGACCTTAACATTCAATATAACTTCCTTGAATGAAAGCACGTATAAATCATGTCGGAGAGATCTAGGAAGGTGTAGCAAAAACCAGCACGATTGGATTAAGTATCTTTGGTCGGATTCAAGTCCAGCAATCTCAGCTCAGTTTTGACAACAGTCATTACATTTTGACATACATGAGACAGCCAATGGCGGTGCGGTTAGCAATAATAGACTGTGTGACTCAATTTTGTGCTTTCATTACAGTGAATGTTTATATTGACAACGTTTTAACATTGCCGTACCTTACACAATCGCTAATAGCGTTCGTTCAGAGGGACAAATGAAATAGGTGAGTAGGTGTGAACAGAGACTGCGTAGTACGGCTAAGTCCCAGTTTATTCAATGCGTAAGTGGACATGTCTATATATAGCCGGATTTCTGTCTACTGTCACGTGGGGACAACCATAAACACTGGTAGTATGGACAACATAACAAGTAGTATATCGCAGTACTCAGTGACACGTGATTCAACTGAACAGGCGTCAAGACTGGTTGTTTCGGGTTGTCGTTATTTGTTTGTTTACTTTTTAAATTGTGTAGACTGGGTCTCGTTACTATACAGCTTATACAATGACGTACAACTTCATCTAAACTCAATTGTGTTTTTTTTCTTTATTTTCTTTTATTTTTTATTTTATTTTTTTAAAATTATTTTTTTATGTTGTTGTTTTTTAATATTTGTTTTTTTAATTTTTTTGGATGGGGGTATTTTGGGGTTTTTTTCCTTTCGTTACAATACTGTTGGTTGTTTTACGCCGCTCTCAACAATTTTCCAGCTATATACCGGCGGTCTGTAAATTATATATCTTGAACAGACAATCCAGTGATTAACACCATGAGCATCGATCTACACAATGGGTATACACAGACATGTGTCAACCAAGTCTACAAACCTGACCACCTGATCCCGTTAGTAGCCTCTTACAACATGCATGAGTTACTGAAGATCAATTCTAACCCGGATCTTCACGGGTATTGTGAAATGTGATAGACACGAGTTATTATGTATGCCACAAGAACAATTTAATTTGTACTTTACTATTGATATTAGTCCGATCGGAAATATTTGCAGAACACCGTGTTGACAGAGTAAAACAGACATATTATAAAGATATCTTACCTGCACATGTAGAGGTGGAGCACCGGGGGTGTATTTGCCGCCAATGTACTGGGTTTGTATTGCATTGCTTTGCAAGTCTCTGCAAGGGCTGTAATCGATAACTGATCAATATCGTTCCTAAAAACCTGCAGTATGTATTGGTGTATGACCTCAATACGCGTATAGCCATAGATATTTCCACTGCACATTGTCGGTGATATTACAGCGTTTGGTTCAACAACACTGTGAGTGAGTGAGTTAGTATTTACGCCGCTGTTAGCAATATTCCTCAATGTCATGGCGGGGGACACCAGAAATGGGCTTCACAATTTGGACCCAACTGACCATCAGAAACCCATGCTTACCAGAATCTTGTGATCAGACTCGCTGACTTGGTATGCGATCGTGCCCCAAATGCGAGATCGATGCTCATGCTGTCAGTCATTATAGACATATAGCTGGGATATTGCTGAGTACGGTATAAAACAAGAAAACGCAGATATTACTGACAGGAGTTGATAATGTAAATAACTGTGTTATCATATTTACTTTTGTGATTATACATATTCATAACATAACTGGATTGACTGGTCCAGACTCGAGTATCTATATAGACGTCATATCGTAAGAGACGAGTAACGGGATTGTGTGGTGAGGCTCGCTGACTTGGTGGACACAAACCGAAACATGAGTCTCATTAACCAATTCAGACAATGACCTACTTTTCAGCCGATTCGAATTTTCTCGTGTGAAAGTGAAAAGAGACACTACATACAACTATAGTTACACTGCATTCCAATCCCTGGTTTCGTAAGAAAATGGTATTTGCAAATAAATTTTGATTTTAAAGAAGATCGTATTTCTATATCTTATATCGAGGTTTAGGCAGCATGTCGTTAACTAAGACGTCACAGACTGCCCCTGTTTGGAGAGGTCGTACAATGATTCACAATTCATCTGGCTCACTGGTTACACCTGTCATGTGTTCTTTGCGCTAATTAAGTGTATTTTTCTAACGTACAATGTGATTGATATAATGTCAAGTCCGTACGAGACCGCCAAACCTTTCTAGAGGCCGAGCCTCGTTTTGAGATTTCCACGATTTCCAGATTTCCGTTTGTAAGAGCTCGCTGTACGGTAGAGAACGCAGCACGACGTGTTTACAAGGATTCGAAGGAGTGTTGCAATATGCAAGTGCTTAGAGCTTTGAAATGAGGATCAGCACCTATTTTTAATTTGTGTCATCGTACCGACCATTGGTCTGAATGTCGCCTGTTGATCGCAACAACATGCCCTCCTCTCATACCTAATCTAAGAAATCGCGTGACGTAAAACTTTTAATGATAACGTGACTCTCGAGAAGCATGATCCTTCTGAAATAAATTTTATGATCTGACCGTCCCCACTGACCGTTATCTTTAGACATTGAATGAACGAGTGAGTATGCTTTTATGCCGCTTTTAGAAATATTCCAGCAATATCACGTCGGGGGACACCAGAAATGGTCTCAACACATTATACCCATATGGAGAATCAAACTCGGATCTTCAGTGTGAAGAGCGAAAGCTAGGCTACTCCACCGCCCTTTTTAGACATTGAGGCATTCCCCAAAAGCTGCTTTGTAACTCTCCGCTCGACTGACGTCACGAGACAAATTGGCGTACACCTGGAATAGAACGATTGTTATCTTGGTACAGTACCAGGAGCGGATACAGCCTTTTGAGAAGGGGATGTGTGTGTGTGTGTGTGTGTGTGTGTGTGTGTGTGTGTGTGTGTGTGTTTGTGTGTGTTGCACACTATTGAGAGTTTCATGTCATTTAATACACTTTCAGGACAGCAGTGGGAGTGCGCACCCTTGCACCCCGCCTCTGAATCCACCTATGAGTACATCCAGGAAACGCCAGCGGCTACTGTCCATATTGTATCCTGCAAGTTAAAGTTTTTAAGGTTTTCAGCATGTTCTATCAAACGTACCAATTTAACGTTATCTAGTTTAGCCACAGTACACGTGAAGATCCGGGTTAGAATTGATCTTCAGCAACCCATGCTTTAGATAACGGGATCAGATGATCAGGCTCGCTGACTTGGTTGACCACATGTCTTTTTATATTACCTTCATGTGAAATATTTCATTGGTCAATGACCAGGCCTTCCAAAGAAAACTTTGCCACTGTGCAGAAAAACGCAGAAAAGCCCACATTAATCGTGGAAATAGCAACATAAACACAATACGTCGCTACTGAAACAGTAAAAACGGCAACTTTAAATCGCTAAAACTGCATAAAAATACAAAGCGCCTGCAACTTCGATTTTGCGCATGCGCACATGGAAGAGGAAGTCTCGACCGCAGGTTGACATTTTCCAGCTTGGACAAAAGTTACATTACTTTTTAAGTATTTCTGTTGTGTTATTTGGCATTTATCATCATGATACTTGTGTGAACATTTCTTTACTTTACCTTCCATTAGTATGAAATGATTGACAGCAATTATTTCGACATATTTAATACTTTTTCTACGCGAGGCGATTCACGGTAGCTCGGAAATTGGAAGGAAGCGCGGATCGTAATACGCATGCGCAGTAGAGGTCAAAGTTCGCTGATGTAAAAATGTTGCAGTTTCATAGTTTTTCGTTGCCGTTTTTACTGTTTCAGTAGCGAGGTATTATGTTTATGTTGCTATTTCCACGATTAATGTGGGCTTTTCTGCGATTGTCTGCACAGTGGCAAAGTTTTCTTTGGTAGGCCTGATGACGCTTTAACACGTTTCCGTGTCACCACTCCCAGGAGGGTGACAACTGGAAAAATATTACCCGCTGCCACGGTAACCGCCAAGCTCTCCGCCGAGAAGGTGAAACGCTAATGTGACGCATGCCGTGCCCGGAGTTCGAAACTGTTCGATCAGCTGTTTTTTGTGGTCACTTTGTACAGATTTATTTTACCGACTTTCACTGCTTTATTTAAGCTATTTTATAAATTGAGTGCTTTACACACTCAACTTAAACATAATTAACCATTTTGTAGCAGTTTTAAGGTTGTCAGAATATGTTTCACTGATTTTAAAAATCCAGTCGAGAGGCAGACGCCATTTTGTTTACATGTCATATAGTCGGTCGCGATCTGTAACATAAAATAAAATGATATTTTGTACATTTAACATGGCGGTGAGATAAATACGTTGTATGCTTCTCCCTACTGGCTCGGGTGACACTGCTACAACGAGGCGTTCATCAGGCCGTATAAAACTCCTGGGAAGCATACAACTTCTCAGTTGCACAAAACGACACTTATGCTGTTGATCACTGGATTGTCTGTTCCAGAGTCGATTATTTACAGGCAGCCGACATATCGCTGGAATATTGCTGAGTGCAGCGTAAACAACAGCCAGACAACAACCAAACGAACCTTGTACCCAAGTAGTTGAATTGGAGCCCGGGAACCTCGCACCCGTACAAACTGATTGGCACACTGTTATACTTCCTCGTTCTAGAGTTGACTAAGGCTACAGGTCTGCCACGTTGACGAATGTATTTACGATTGGGGACGAGTGAGTAGGGTTCATGTATAGTTGCATAGTATACAGCAGAGTAGCGTGATGTATCACCAGCTGTCAGAAGTGCATTGGACAACTCGGTAGGTGACTGCGTTAGACGGCTGACTGCACGATTAGGCGATTTGGTGTTTAACTTTGACAGTGTGGTTTCGAATTCCCGATAAACGTCGAGTGAGTGAGTGAATGAGTTTAGTTTTTATAGTTTTAGCTATATGGAGGCGGTCTGTAAATAACCGAGTCTGGACCAGACGATCCAGTCATCAACAACTTGAGCATCGATCTGCGCAACTGGGAACCGATGACATATGTCAACGAAGTCAGCGAGCCTGACCACCCGATCCCGTTAGTCGCCTCTTACGACAAGCATGGGTTACTAATCAATATTCTAACCCGGACCTTCATATGGTGGCTGATTAGGGCCATCGCTTTCTCGCCTTAAAATTCGGAGGCGAGAAGCGATATCACGAGACGAGAAAGCGATATCACGAGACGAGAAAGCGATAGCACGAGACGAGAAAGCGATACCATTACGCGAGAAAGCTATAAAGCGAGAAAGCTATAAAGCGATAGAGCGAGAAAGCGATATACCAAGGCGAGAAAGCGATAGAGCGAGAAAGCGATAGAGCGAGAAAGCAATAGAGCGAGAAAGCGATATACCAAGGCGAGAAAGCGATAGAGCGAGAAAGCGATAGAGCGAGAAAGCGATATTTCACATAATTCTGCCCTGTCTGCACATGACGTCTAACCTGCGTATCATTTAATCCAACAGGAGGCTTTATTGTCATTTGGTTTAATCGTATAGAAACAAAATGAACATGCTTTCGAATTCTGTGGCATTTTTGTAATTAATCCTTTGACTTGTACAAACAATAGTCGAACAATAACACCAGAAACCGAGTGTGTTTTCGTTGAAATAAATGAGCGCTCTTAAAATGTCTGTAAAAAGGATAACAATCATTTAATTTATCACTAATCACTAATTAGGCTTGGTTTAATTCCTGGCTTGCATTTCTTTATTGTCATTTCCCTTGTTAAATGCTACCATTGTTATCTCATTGTTCATGCCGGGATTAACAATCCCTGGCTTCCATTTGTCCATCCACCCTACCAATTTAGCGTTCATTAAGTACTGGCTTCCCTTGTTATCTTAGCACTGTTGTTTCAAATGTACGTCTATAGCTTTCTCTTCCTAGTTTCTAGTCTCTTCAATTACCTGATGAAGGATAAGAATATACTCCGTAACATCGTGTTTCAGTCCGGTGTTAAACAACAAACCAACCAAACCAGCTCCCCGTCGGGCTTTATTGTATCAGTGATGGAATTTCATACACCCTGTGCCTTTCATCTGATCTTTTTATGTGTGTTATTTCACACATTTATATTTCCACTATTATTTGAAAAAAGTATTGTTCTAAATGTATGTCTCCCATACTTCTACAAGAATGGCTTGTCTACATACTTATATGTCTGTCTGTCCCCATATCCCAACTATCTACTTGAGACAGTGCCACAAGTCATTGACCGACGTGATAGGT